CTCGAGTCTTAAATTTTGCTTCTCGAGTGCAATCTTCTACTGATCAGTTCTGGTAACATTTCAGTACTCATCACACAGTGATCTACATAACCTTTCCTGGCAATTTACTGGATTCAGTTTTAGTCACTGTTCAAATATTTAATGTTAATCAATGTTATTGTACTTGATGTGTGAGTAACCTTTTTTAAAGTTGACTCAGTGCTCACTGTATATCTTCTTTCTAACACAATTTTCATATTAAATCTAGTCTTTTTTCAGGTAAAGCTGATGTGCATTCAGCCTTTAATTTTCAGAACTTTTGAGTTTGTTTTCTCATATAGCTGATGAGTAGTCCTCAATGGAGTAAAAAAACCCTTGCTTGCGAATGAAGAAAATCACTTGGAAGACAAAAGGATACATTTAGATTGCAGGCGGTAGAGAATTCTAAGAATACACACAATAGCTTTAAGTAATGGTTTGGGAGCTAAAATGGATCCATCAGCAACATGGCCCTTTACTTGAGTTAATTGAACCAGCACTTCAGCTCCTTCACTGCAGAGAGGGCTTTCCTGAGACATTCAGGTAATTGGTGTGTTTGGGACACCGGACAGATTTATCATAGAGATGTCAGAACTAGTAGTGGAATGAAAATGATGACTTCTTAATGGTAAGAAGTATATCCACTTATATCCACTGCTTGCAATCAAGAGTAAAACTATGGTTATAAACTTAGCTTTATTAGGGCAATTTAATTAAGATTCTTATCTTGTTCCTAATTAAGAAGCCCATGAATTTTCTATTTGAGATTGAACCCTTTTGAAATATTAATGGAAAAATACAATGGAGAGGGTAATTTTAAAAAGATAAAAGGGTTTTTTTACTGCTGTTTTTTTCACATATTTTTGTTATGTTAATAAATGAGAATGTTTTGACAAAAGTTTTCAGCATTGTTTTCTATTGAGAAAAATATCGATGCACTGAGACCAAATGGGATGTGCATTCATACTTCATGACTGCCATTATACCTAACAAACTCTGTAAACAAGCTGCCACTATTTTTTCATATTTTCATTTCTCATGTTTTACTTACTTTACCAACAGGATAAGCTGTTGGAATGGTTCGTAACCTCATGTCTTTTGAAGATGAAATACTGGATTATTACACAATTCAACATTATGGAAGCCTCATGCCTGGTGATATTTGCGTCATTAATGACAGAACAGAACTGATGACAAGGTAGATGGTTAATTCATTAAGAACAAATGTCAACTGAATTTCATTATAGGTTTCAAGGTTTTTGCCCATGTTCTATTCTAACCTCAAAAGGCACTGTAAAAAACGATGTCTATAATATCACTTTGTAAATAACAGTAAAAAATATTGTCTAGTTTGATTCCAATGTAGAGGTAAGCAACTTGATGCTATGGATGGACAAAAGCATAGGTTCTAATGTGTTTAGCCAGTGTTCAAAAAGAATCTGTTGATAAACACAGTTCAGTACAATTGTTTCAGCTCGATAATATTCAAAGCAAGGCTTCTTTCAAGTTATTTTCCTTTGAAAGTTCTGTAACTATTACTCTCACCATATTCTTTTTGCGTATTTTTTATCATTATTACTTTGCTATTGTAAATCTTTTCGAAGTACAAACATTCTGTAGTCAAGCCAGTCTTCCACTAACAGAAATGGGAAAAACCCCCAAATGAGTAAGATCAATCATTAATTTGATTGCCATTGTTTCATTCAGGTTCCGTATTTGAAGATAGCCATTTTATCAGCTCGGATACCAAATTGTAGACTTGTTTGGTCGGTATAAATTTTTTAATTTCTTGTATTGACAGTCAATATGAAGAAAGTAGTAAGTCTGCACTTTTTTAGTGAGATAATACAGTTGAGCTATTATTGATGATTCCTTAAGAATCAGTCTTGTTGACTTACTTCATTGCAAGAGTTCCTTTTCATTTTTCTTTTGGAAGCATAATAAATACAGCCAAAGATGTATTTCTTTATCTTCTACAGTAGAAAATTATCAGGCAGTATGTGCAAGTCTGATAAAAACAGGAAAAGAAACACAGAACAAGGATCAAGACTATAGAAGAAGAGATACTCTATGATACATATAGGTAATATAATCAAGGTTAATGCCAACAAAATTAAAGATATTTAATTGGTATTTTTGGTATAGAAAAAAAAAGTTTGTGCTCAAAAAGTGTCAGGTAAACTCTAGTAGGCACAAATACCTGTCTTAGGAGCTTATGGGGTTACACTTGGGATTGCTTCCCCTCCTCAGAGGAAGGCTAGGTTTGTTTGCTCTATGCTGGACAGGAGCAAGCTGACAGATGGCTCTTAGAAGGCAATTTCTAGAGGGTATAGATTAGAGGATTAGGGCCTGAGCAACCTGCCAGAGGAGGAAAGAATCTGGAAGGGCACCAAGATGTGCACCAATGTGAATACCAGCTGCAGTTACAGCAGCTTTTTAAACAGTTGTTTTAATTACAAATCATTTTGGGATGCACATTTTGTGTCCTTTCTAATTACTCAGCATGAGGTACAAGAAACATTGTGGCAAAGGTCAAGCTAAAGAGACTCAGAGCATGAAAAATACTGTGATTAGCATGAAAAGAAAGCAGAATGAAGAAACAGAAGCAGACAGCACAGAGCTTAATTTCTAGATAAAAAAATCCTGTACAGGCATGGAAGCAAACACCAAGTCTGTATTGAGGGCTGCCTAAGGGAATAAAGATGAAAAAAACAAAGGCAAAGCTTTTGGTACTATCTTACTGGGGAAAAAAAAAGAAGTGATACCACCTCCAGGAATAATGCCTGAAGCACTGGCACACTCATGCATGTCTGATGAATACTAAAGCCCACGGAAGACTGAGACTGTAAAGAAATAAAAGCCAGAAGTAGAAGAAGAAAGAGATCCATTACAAAATAAACACAAGCAGGTTAAGGGAATCCAGAAGGCAAACCAGAGACAGATCTAAAAAAGTGAAGTACGCACTGTATTATGCAGCATATAAATCAGAGGGAATAACGGCCATTCTTTTGGAATATTCCAATGAGCTTGTGAAACTGAGTTTGCCCTAACTCAGTGCTGTCTCTGCCCTGGGATGGATATGACCTGAACACCTAAAATCAAACAGCAACACCTGCAGTGTGACTGTAGTTGATCCAAACATTGCTCACACACTGCAGCAGACAGCATGTGACACAAGACTGATGAGTTTGCAGCTATGCTTTTACATCAAGAACCAGCTAAACCTTCCTGTAGACTGCAGAACCAACTACATATAACCCATGAAAAATAGCAGCAATATTGACTGGACAAGTGTGCTTAAACTATTCTGGCTATTGGTGAAACCTAGTATTTTAAATGTCTCATCCCCTACAAGTGATCTTTCATGTAAGGAGAATTTGCTACAGTTCTTAATTGCTCAGCACAAGTAGCAGATGTCCGCTGGTAGAGTCCATAGGTGGTTACCTATGTTTACATCATTCCAATGCTACGTGACAGAAATTTTGGGGTTTTTTTTCCATTTCCTTTTTTCTTATGTAGCAAATCATGACCTTAAAAGAATGTTATTAAAACTACAAAGTCAACTATTCTAGAGAATGACAAAATAAAGGTCACCTGCGATACAAATTTCAGAAGGTTCAGAAGTTTTTAAGTGAATAGGATGTTTTTAAGTTTTATTCACAGAAAAGATGTTAATTACTTTTCATGTCAGGAATGTTTCTTGGTAAGCTGAAGTTACCTTTTGGTTACATTTGACCTAACTTTTCATTCAGTACGAACATCAGGACTTACGCCTGGTTCAAAGATGCATCATCAGGATACAGCTGATGACATTATTTCTATGGGAAAAGCTTTTTTTCCCATAGACCAAAATGCATGATACCAAAGAATGAATATTTGTAATAGCTGCAAAGAGCAAAGAACTAAGCATAACAGAAAGAAGTTTAGTCAAAGAGTTGAGACCTTCTGTATTTGTCATGTGTTATTTGACCAACTCCATGTGTGAGCTGAAAGGTAATGAGGAGCTATCCAAGTCAAAGCACATGAAATCAGCTCAGCAGTTTATAAAACTGCATGAGTACATGCTCTGAAAGATAGCTGCCTATCCTTTAGAATTACTGACACAACTTGAACACATCTGAGAATGATCAGAGACCTAAGTGGAAGCATTTGAAAGGGCAAGGAAAAAGCTTAAGCTTGGTCTTATTCTTTAAATCATTTAGTTTAGAAGCAAGAAGATAAACAGTGCAGCTTACAGGCAGGCACGAAGGGACACAGACACCCATAGCACTTCTCAGTAGGTTCATAAAAGGCTCACACAGGAGATGTGTTCAGGCACAACAGGAGCTGGTGGCTATAGTCTTCGAAAGGGAGTAAGTTCGTTAGCTTTAGGCACAAAAAGAAAAGGTGATCTAATCACAGATGAATATTTTTATTGAGGAAACCAGTGATGCTTTCAAACAGCAAACGTGATGTTATTGAAATTCCAACATCAACACATGGAAATATGCTTCTGTCTGAGAAAGTCATTACTGATGACAAGTACACGAAGCAGGAAATAGCATCCATGGTTCAGGGCAGATTCTGAATCGTCACTAATGGAAGGCATCAGGCAACTGAACAAAGGTGTTGACAGGATGAGTTAGTGGAAATAAAAGAATCATACCAAGTGGGTCAATGGATTGAAATAAAAATCTGATGATTCATCGACTCTGAGGGATGTATATGCCAAAGGCGAGGCTATAGCAAGGCATCTTGACAAAAGATCTACTTTCAGATCCCCATCTCCTCCCCACCAAAGGTGGTCCCTCTCCCCAGCTCTCCAAGGCAGCTCTGCCCTGCAGCCACCAAGGCCTGAGGCCACCCTTGGCCCACAGCTCAGCACGCCCCCCACCCTGCCCTCGTGGTAACTTCAACAAAGCCCAGAGATTCGAGCATATTTTCAGTAGAAGGCTGAAACGGCCATTGTTACGCCCCTAGGAGCCCCCCAAGACAAAGGCGAGATGCAAAGCCAGTGTTTTCTACCACCAGCTGGGCCTGTCCAAGGGATGGAGGAGGTCAGGGTAGGGCCTCGTTACACCTCACGACAGAGGGCAATGGTGAGATCTGCTACCATTACTGCCTCAGCTCTGTAAAAATCGATTTAAAGCAAGCTCTCCAGGGGCTGGCAAGGCCGGGGGAGCTCCGATACGTGACTACGCGCCTGGCGTGGCTCAGAGCGGGGGCACTATTCCCGCCAAACAGCCTCCTTCCAAGCGCCGGGAGAGAACAAAACGGGGCGGGAACGGCGGAAAGGCAGCAGCCTACCGCGCCGCTCCCCGCCCTGAGGCGGGGACGCGGAGCACGCGCAGAGGCACCTTCCCCCCTTCCGGCAGTTGCGGCGGCCGCAGCCTTGCGGAAGAGGCGGGG